CATCAATTTTTTTAATTTAAGCAGGGCCACAATTTTTACAGTGTACCTGTGTATATGTCACCTGTGAATAAACCTCACTTACCATGCATTCTGAGAAGTCTGAGTATTGTTTCGCTTTGTCCCACTACTCTGGTGTTTATTTCTTGCAATCATGATACTATCCATCCATCCGTACATACATCCATGCATTCATGATCTTTACCCGCTTCTTCCTTTTTGGGTCACGGGGGCCATTGGTGCCCATGTCCAGCTATCACTGTGCAAGAGGTGGGGTACACCCTGGACAGGTCGTTCGTCCATCACAGGGCCACATTGAGACAAACAAGACAAACAACCATTCACTCTCTCACTCACAATGATATAAAACAAAATGTCTGACTTGTGTGTTCTTATGGTTCTGGTGCACTTCTTCCCTGTATGTTTTGCATAACTAATTGAGAGAAATGACAATGTGTAACATCTATTTTCTGCAGACAAAGACTCTCTTCCTTGAAAACAGTTTGTTTCCTTATGTCGAATAAGGTCTCCTGATTGCAATAAAATAAAACATACAATATAACGATAAAATTCAAGAGTTCTCTCACTTACACCTTGCAGTGCAACACTGTATGAAATGACAGAGAATACAGGTATATAGAAAGCTGAGAAGCATTGTTGAGATTAGATATTTATTTAGAGCTTTCTCCTTAATAACACAGTTTAAGCATTAAAGTAGCGTGGGTATCTCTGAGGCTTAGCGAGCACCTAAAAATGTCCTACCCTTCCTCAATCCTGTTCATTTCCATTAAGGCACAATCAAATCTGTTCATCCTTTCTACATCTTTCTCCCCAAAGAGGAAAGTGCCATTTTTAGCTTTTGTGGGATCCCAGTGTTTTTTATCCTGCAGGTTTCTGAGTGTCTGGGCAGAGCCAGTGAGCAACAGCTTGATCTATTCCAGTGATGAGCTCCAGGATTTACCTGGATGGTTGAGCTTACATACTCTTTTTGAACCATTTTGGCCAGGTTGTCCGCAGTCTGGTTCGGTGAGCAGCAAGCAGCCATCAGGTCTACAACAACTGATTATTATGCACAGATGATCGATTGTTTAGACTGACGGCCCCCAGTTTTGCACGTGTAAAGCCAGTTTCTGGGAATTCCACAGCAGGCTGGCTTGAACCACGTCAATAATGTGCTATTTATACAGCAGATTTTGTTGGCAGGCCTCCGATTGACAAAGTCTTTTGGCTGAAAGATGACATGTCTCTTCCAAGAAGAATCTGACCAGATAAGATGGTTTAACATTTTTGTGATTGTTAAAGTGTTTTCTTCTCTGCTGGAACATTAAATATCAACCAGTATTGTGATAGTCTATTTGTGTTTCCTAAACTAAAGATTTTTTTCTTGTTAGTTCTCCTTTGTATTCTCCTAGTCCCTGTTACCTGAAGTCTGATCTTGGACTCACCTGTGTCTCCAAATTGATCTGAACCCTGAAACTCCTGGTGCCGCTGGCCTTCTGCCTAAGGCCCATTCTGCTGCTCACCTGCCTGCCTTCAACCTGCTTGTCTACAATCCACCATGGTACCCACCACTACTTACCTCATCAATTCCATCTCACCTACTATTCATACCTGAAATCCTAAGTCCTCCTTGCAATACCACTGGACCACAAGGAACCTGTATAAAGAAGTATTCTTAATAACTTCACCACATTAATTCTAAATTGTCCGTAGGTGTGAGTGAGAGAGTGAATGCTTGTTTGTCTCTATGTGTCCTTGTGATGGACTTGCGACCTGTCCAGAGTGTCCCCTGCCTCCTGCACAGTGACTGTGCTGGACATAGGCACTGGTGACCCCTGTGATCCGAAAAGGAAGAAGCAGGTACAATGTAATGGATCGATGGATTTCAATTCAATTCAATCTTTATTTATACAGGTTAGTCTCATTGAGCCTCGAAGACTCATTTACAAGAGAAACCTGTTTTTAACAAAGAATGATGACAACAGTAGATGAAAATGACAAGAGTAGACAATCTTAAAAGAAGGCATATAAATTGGAAAAAATAAATGGAAGAAAATGATGTAAAAAAAAAAAAAAACAGCTACATTATAAAGCAATAAAAAAAAAACAGGAACATGTCTGCATTGGATATCTTGTCAATCATGGATGTTTGACTGTGAAACAAATTTCCCCTTGGCAATAATAATAATTCTTGAACTTGAACCTGAAACATTTTGAAGTCTGGTTAATGACTTACCTTGTTGTTTGCCAAGTATAAATAGGCCAACTGTTCGAGCATCTCAAAGCCTTCATCTTCAAGACCTATAAAAAACAAACAGTGGATTTTAAGCCAGCATAAAGCTACTTCAGTAAACACAAACACACACACAAGCGTAAGTTCTCCAAGAACCCACAAACATGGAGTAATGATGCATGTTTAAAGAAGCACAATGGTCCCAGTTCACAAGCTGTCTGAAAAAGTATACCAAAAAGAGTGGTACTCTACAAAGCAGGGCCTTATGCTGATTGGACAATGACACAAAAGTCACAGCTATATATAAGAGATGTTGCTTTTTTCTACATAGATGGAGCAGCACTCAATCATCTTCATAACCATCCATGTATGGGTTTGACCTGTAATGCAATACCAGCTGTCTGAACAAGCAGTTCACAAATGTCTCCATTGTTGAGGGATTGAATACTGAATGTTTGTAGTTTTATAAATTAGTATTTTCCTGGACAGGAATTAAACAGTGAATGTAAGTAAACCTTAATGATTTTGGTGCAAGACATTCACGTGGGTAGGCGTTACACTGTGGAGAAGAACAGAGGGAGTTTTATTTTTGTTTTTTTCTTGTCCAAGGCAGCGCAGAGTGACCGATCCTGACGAGTGGAAGGAGATATTTTATTCATGACCAGGTGCCGTGGAAGAGCCAGGAGATGGCCAACGGTGGCCTTGTCCCCCATAAGTTAATCTTCCACCACCCCAATTAATTAAGGAAACTAAACTTTTAAGCAGTATAAGAACTAGAAAGCATAGTTACCTCAAATCATAGAGTTGGCCTGGTTGTATTATGGTGGTGGCCATCTTGGATTTGGATTTGGCAGACCAATTTTTGATAGTGACCTTTCTTATGTCTAGATTTGAGCACAAATCAAAATGGAAGTCTGTACCTTACTTTTATA